ATAACCTTCGACCGCTTAAATGGAAGCTAGGAAGAATAACACCCGGGAAATGATGGTGTAATACGATCAGTAAATTTCAAAACTTCATCAGGCATTTTTAAAAGATCGGTTCTGAAAGTCTGTATTCTACCATATCAACACTAAACCGTATCGCGAGTGCAGACATTGTATGTGAATATCCGTACCGCGAGTGCACAGACATTTTATGTGAAATTATGTCCACAATTAAAAAAAAAAAAAAACTGTTTGGTATTTTGAAACCCCGATGTATCAAGAGGGTGGCTTATGTTTGCGCCGCTTATGAATTGGGACTTTAAATCCTAACCGTCAATGTCAATTCGCATTATCCAATAGAGACAGTTAGCACCAGTCGACAAGGAAGAGATATTGACGTTGAATGATGAGCAGTATTTATTTATTTTTTTTGATTTTTTGAATCTATAGTTTGTAAGTTGTTTCGTTTGTTAGACGATTGCTACACTGAGAGAATTAATTTTAGACCATTATAAAAATCTTAATAACCTTAATAAAAATATCGTATAAAATGGGGGACAGAAAAGCGCTGTAGTTACCATTATAAGAGTCACTTTATAAACTACTACTTTGCTACCATTGATAGACCAATTTACTGAAATCGCCTAAAGACCATTAAAAATAGTTTTGAATGGCTAAAAAACGATTTTTTAACTGTCAATAAATATTTGATGATGGTTATTAAATTGTATATTAACCCTTAATATATCTTATAAGGGATAATATAACCATTTTAATAATAACAAATGAATATCTTTATACCATTAATATTTTTTTTTGACCACCAAAAATTCCTTTTATAATCATAACAAGATAACCTTATAAGGCCCAGTTATACAATCTTGGTTAAAAACAGAGTTCAGGTGAACTCGACTGGTACTTGAACTTCTCCATTTAAAATACATTGCTGTCAGCTATTAATCAAATTCTAGCTATTTTTGACAGCAATGCATTTCAAATGGGGAAGTTCAAGTACTAGTCGAGTTCAGCTGAACTCTGTCTTGAACCAAGATTGTACAACTGGGCCTAAGGGTTATTAAAAATGTTATGGTACTATTATATTGCATTTGGGAAGAGGTAAAAATAAAAGACAATGGGTATTTTTTAATCAAACTTTTATTAATTGTTGATACCTACATATTATTATGGTGACATTAAAAAAATAGAAGCTGCATCTACAGTAATCACATAAACCAACAAAATTTCGAATCGTATATGTATACCTACATAACTACTTAAGTATATAATATAAAAAATACTACTTGGAAAAAGCAAAAGCAGGTAATAAGAGAGTTTTCATTTTTAATTTATATTTTCTCAAAAAGGACACTTGTTTTTCAAAAAAAAAAAAGAATGCAGAAAATCCTAGCTTCAGTTGCTTTGTGCAATAATTATTCCAAATCTGAAAATTAATGAAAGCATTGAGGGGGTTATATTTATACCTACTCATAGGTCACCTTCGATAAATGACTGTAAGCCCCACTCTAGAAGGGCAACTTTACACGCCATTGTCAGACCAGGGCCAGTGTAAATCCAAAATCCAAGGTTATAAATGATAAATAATTCAAAATGATTTAAATAATTCACCAACGGCACCAACGCAACGCACTAACTAATCAACGCTTACAGCAAAAAATGGCGCGACACGACACAAACACCTGATCACAAATGACCGGGCTCATGCTACATGCTTGCACGGAAGCAATAATTGGAATGCACAGAAAAATTACAAAATAAACCATTATGGCCGCTTCGGGTTGTTTCGCGAATAGCCGAAGCCAATAACGGCCCGCTCAAGTTTATTATGGCTATAACGCACATTTTAAAGACTGAAAATCAACTTATAGTTGTTAAAAAACGTATATCGATGGTTATGTAGATCAATTTTAAAGATCGTGTGTAGTAACCATATTAAAGTATCTAGCTACTGTAGTAAATTCGTATGAAGAAATTTGAATACAATACATCAGTAAATTAAATTTTTAACAAGAGTAAAGTATTTTATAGGAGCTCATAGATAACTCTAGATGATAATGAGGATAATTCAACAAAGAGTTTTTAGCAACCATAAAAATACGTTATTCAGTTATGTTATATATAATTATCTATCTATTAAGATAGATAATTTATGGCAGTTATTAAAGATATTTTGTCTGCAATAAAGAAAATTCCAGTAAGACAATTTAAGAATTCAATTTCCTCAGTGTACGTAACTAAAATTATTATTATGATTATTAAAAATTTTTGATACACTTAAGTACGTCTCGTCTGATTCAATTGATAATACAAGAAAATAAAGTGAAATGCTTAAAAATCTTCACTAGTAGGTTTTCTAACCCGCCTACATAACAGGGGGCAGTACTTAAGTATATGGATTACCATCCCAAATTTAAATAGAAAGGGGGACTATGTAATACGTCATACGCCCCAGTAACGAAAAATAACGAAAACGCCTCTGGCTGTTCATCTAGAAATTTCATGTCAATACAGGAAGAGCCTTGAAGAGTTTCTAGTTTTGCGAATTAATAATATAATATGAATATTAAGAATGGTAATCCTAGATATTTTCTGTATCAGAGTATACCGGGTGACAATGAAACTACTACCCACGGCGGCATTTCTTAACGGCTCAAGATAGAAATATTTAATTCCGTATGTCAATAGGGTTGAAAATTTTGAACAATTTTAATATAAAAACAACTGAATAGCTTTTCCGGTTTCACCGGAAATGGCATTGACTTTGTTATTTTAGATGGGACACCCTGTATATTATCTTTTTTTTGGACTCTCTGAACAATTTTAAATAACTTTTGTCTAACATACCCTATGTCAAAAATTGATAGTTTTTGAAATAGAGTAGCTCAAAAATATGTCGTAACTCCTATTTGTTTGTATTTTACGTAAAAACTGAGTAAACCAGAACAAAAAAAATCATGGTTATTTGCTTCTTATTCAAAGAGGTATCCGATAAATAATAAAAGAGAAGAATTAATGCAAGTTAAGAAAAACGCATTTTTTGAAAATGAATGTTTCAGTTTTTGATCGGACCCTGTACGAAAATGATTCAACTTATGGAAATGAAACTTCCACTACCCAATCCTAATTTTTTATCCTTTATCCAAATATGACAAATTCAACCTCCATAGACACCTTCAAAATTAAAAATTTGATAACCCATTTTCAAGTTGTTAGTGCTCATCTAAAGCCAAAACCAATATTATTTTTACTCATTTAATTACGTATACGTATATTACGGCTCTTTTTCAAAAACAATTAATTATTGACATGGGGTATATTAGACAAAAGTTAATTAGAATTGTTCAAAGAGTCCAAAAAAAAGATAATATACAGGGTGTCTCATTTGAAATAACAAAGTCAAGGCCCTTTCCGGTAAAACCGGAAAAGACATTCAATTGTTTTTATATTAAAATTATTCATAATTTTCAACCCTATCAACAAACCGAGTTGCATATTTCTATCTCGAGCCATTAAGAAATGCCGCCATGGGTAGTAGTTTCATTGTCACCCGGTATACATAAAACATACGAGTTAAATTCCAAATATTTGTCATGTGACCTGGGAAAGTTAAAACCACTCTATCGCGAGGCCTATGTTAAGGATTTCTTATCCAGATCCAGAATTTTCAGAGTTATCTGAATCTAAACAAGGATCTCCGAGAAGTTTCAGTTATTTGAGTCGAGGACGTATGCAACTGTGGAGAACAAATTAATAGAAATTGATAATGCAACTTTAATGACTTTTCTTGTACTTCAGTCAATGCTTAAATGGTCACACACTACAATAAAATTGGGCAAGGGCAAGCCCATTAATAGTGATTCGGGTGGTTAACTAGCCTCACCTATTAATCTGCCTCTAGGCTATGCATGCATGGGCAAAAAAGAAGCAAATTACGCAACATTTTTAAGGATACAAATGAAATGCCATTTCCAGTTTGTTCCAGGATGATAATTGATATGCTATGCCACATGCAATTAATGTAGAGTAAGTGGAGTTTGCGATAAACAATAATATCTACAACGGTCTTCAGTTTGAATGTCCTGAGTTTTGAATTGTTCTTTTTTATCAAATAATGAATCAACAGCATTTTTCATACACGTTATTCTTGTATAATGCAATCTAAGGTCAATGTTTTATTTCTTAAAATACCCCTAGCCAGAGATGTTCAAGATCATTTTAAAAAAGATTTAAATCAAAGATCATATAGATACTTTTCATTTGGACAAAAGATTTAAATCAAAGATCGATTTGTATATGAAGAAAGATTTAAATCAAAAATCTTTTTTATTTGAATCTTATTCACAATTTAAATCATTTTGGAAAACATTCAAATCTTTACAAAACAAATATATGTTTTTAAAAGATTTAAATATTTTTAAAGATTTAAATCGCACCTAAGAGTATTAAAAATCAAAGATACTTTTAAGAAAGATTTAAATTATAAATCAAAAATTATTTTCTGAAAAATGATTTAAAATCAAAAATATGATTTAAATCTCATAGATAGTGACAGCTCTTCCCGTAGCTCACCACAAAATAATTTTAAAAAAATCTATTGCCCCAGATACACAGGATTACTTTGATTCCAAATTATCATCAATAATAATTATTCCAATCAAGAAGTAAAGTAAAAAAAGCAAAATATGTATATCTAAGAAAGGTATATATTCTCACATTTTACAAATATGTAATACATAGAAATTTCCAAAACTAGGCTAAAGTAGCCGCGATTTACGTTACTGTTTCTTGAGGAAGGTACTGGTTATTCAAGTACCAGAGCACGTGGTACCGTTCGTTGGTTGCTCCACACACCCATCAGAAGCTACCTTCTTCCATTTAATTATACGTTGTCAACAGTTTGGTTCGAAGTCGCCGCGCGCTTGAAAAACATAAATAAATAAACATATTTATAAGTAAATAAATAAGGTCCTCATTATTATATTTAAATCATGTGGGACACAATTTGGTATTTAGGTTTCCCAATGCTTGCTATTAGTGTTTTTGGCGCGCCGTATAAAAAACATTATGACGAATTGGCCAGAGATGGGTCATATTATAACTCTGATCAATATGATGTGGTGTATGATCAGAGACAGAATGGTACTGAAAATTATAAAGTAAGTAATAAAGTGCCTTTTTTACTTGATTTATGTTCAGTTTCATCATCTGATTTTTTAAACATGCAATTTTCTTCAAAATTTGTTAATTTTTTTCTAGCTTAATGTTGACGGATTGTCCTTTGTTTGGTCTCCAAATTCACTTTTTGCCGCAGCAGCCCTTTTAGAACCGGCTCTCTATGGAGAATATCCAGAGACAAATGTTGACATTATTTTGGGACCTGACAGTACGAAACCAGAAAATCGGCCGGTGGGAGGGAAAAAACCTAATTTGGTAAATGTATTCCAGAAATAAAATTCCAAAAACAGCTCGTAATAAATTTAATTTAGGATAACCCATCACAGACAGTCCTGGTAATTAATGATGCGTCAGACGAAAAGCCGCAAGATTCGGAAGAGTCCTCTACAGCAAAAAAGTAAATTAAATCAATGATTCTTGAAAATCCTAAATTTTAATAATTTCTTTTTTAGGAAAATTCATATTCCGGCAATATTAAAACCGTTTCTACGGAAAAGATCCTCCTTGACTACCCTACACAAGTAGAAACGCTTCAAGAATATCAATAATCAATTTTTATTTATTTTTATAGATGTTTTCAATGTTTAGATAATAAACTGATATTATATGGATTGTTGCCTATGTTATTAATCCCAACATTATAAGCTTTTGTCAAGCAAAAAAACCTGAAAAATTTATAAAAATCCTTCAATATTTTCAAGTCATGTACCTAATTGAAATAAAAAGCGAAGGGTCAATGGATTCTTATCCGCCTAGGTCAAATTCGCCAAAATTTATTCTATTACCCAATAAAAAAAATCCCATCAACTTCTTGAAAATATTCATTCAAAATCCCGTTAGGTTCAGGTCAATTGTTTTTTTTTTTTGGTAAATTTAAAGCATGTTCCAATCAAAAACCTGATTATCGTACCAACCCACTCAAAACGAAAGGCAAACTTGTATAGCGGTACTTTGGACAAGATATTAAAACTATAGAGACTTCTTGTTGCAGCAGAAATGGCCAAGAATCAAGAAGTCATCGACATCACAGTATCAAACGGTGGCCTGCGGCAATTTGAATTCTTCAACATAAGATGAAGAGTCAATTTGAAACTTTAATCGACTCGCGGTCGAGCAAGATGACGGGTGCTTCTTCGTTTTCCTTCATTTACTTTATAGGAATTCTTGTTTTTGTTGATCTACTGCATGCGGCGCCCAGTAGAAGCAAAAGTAAACACAGAGATGCCGGACCACAATTAGTGTACGATCAAAAGCAAACTGGGGATTATAATATTCAGTTACATTTGAAAGATTTTCAAATAATCGCACTGTTGGGAGATGATTCTTTGGGGGTAAGTTAATGACCAATCTTACAATGACCTTTTTTTCCATTCATTTATAGCAATAGTGGCTGAAAATAATGGGGTTTGAGGCTAATTTGGAATGTTGTACCTACTCATTTTTTTTTCAGGATTATGACTACAATTATGATTACGCAGACTTTACAGTTAAGCCTCCAGCAACTCCGAAACCCACCTCAACTTCAACTACAACAAATCCCCCACCAATAAGCAGTACATCAGAATTGAGCTCAATTGCACCAGAGAATAATAAAAATCCATCAGAAATACTAATCAATTCAGATTCCAATCCTTCCAGTACTTCTGCGACCAATCTTCATCCATATCCTATTGAACTAGTTGTTTATGATCCATCTAAAAAACCTGTTGAAAACTCAGAGAAAACACCTGAAAAGCCAATTTCAACATCAGAAGAAACGCCCCTTTTGAATAATGAAATAGTCAGTTCCACTTCAAGTTCATCATCAACTAGTAGCGAACTTACATCTTCTTCATCTACTACAGAGCTAATAACTCCAGGTAAAATCAAAGTCCAAATCTTAGATTCTCCTGTTCCTACCGTAGATGCTCCAGCAGTTCCTGTAGGCATTGTTCCCGGAGAAGACGTGCAGAGTGAAATAAATGCTGGAATACTGCAAGGAGAATTAGCCAGTTATCGAAAATGTGCTTCAGGATTTGCTAGGGACAAAAAAGGCAGATGCAGGAGGGTTAGAAGGCCGGGAGTTACACCACAATTACCGTAAGTAAATTTTAAACTGATTGAGCCGATACTTGGCGAAAATTAAAATCTATGATATAACGAAATTAAAAAAAAAAAAAAAAACAGACTTGCAATATACCACACTTGTAACGTGCTTTGCTACCATGAAGCTTCTTCTGACTTACTAATATGGTATTATCTCGGATATTCTTTATACATTTAAAAGAAAAATAGCAAATAAAACACATTCCAATAACAATAGCTTATTATCTAAGGGTGCAAGGGTAATAAAATGTCAATAAAAATATTTCAATACTAGAAAACATTTAGCAAAACTATTCAAATCTAATTGATTCTAAATACTTAATTTTCATGTTGATGATTAATGTTCGAGATAAGAATTATGGTGAAATTCTCTTTTCCAGCATTTAGGTTTTCTGGGTGGTATCGGTATTGAGTAAACTTTGTTTTCATTCAAGGGAATGGACATTATTTTATGGGCCATTTTCATTTATATTATCAAACATGCCAATTTATGTTGTATTTGGTAGAATTAAGAATTATTGAGAATAGTAGTGTGTCAGTATGAGAAGTAAGTGATATATTGAGAAAGTATAAAGTCCTTTTTCTTTTTCAATGTGAATGTCTAGAAAAATAATATGATTGATAACTTTTTCCTACATATTAAGTTTAATATAGGTATGTATGTGAATTACTCGAAAAGTTTGAGAAGGAAGAAACTTCTCGATCGGTTCCAACCAAGTTAAATGTTTTTCTAAGTATCTATGCCAGTAAAGAAAATGTTCAAAAATAAGGTTGTTGCCTTGTTGTTGCTGATTAAATTTTTCAAAGAGTCCATGAAAAATTCAGCTATTAGGGATCTTATTGGATTACCCATAATTAGGTGATCACTTCCTAGATAGTAGTCATTATTACATGTTACAGTCTGTGACTCCAGTGTCTAATAAAAATATAGTGAAAGTCTAGTAAATAAAATAATTTAATTTTTCAATCGTATAAGTGAAGTGGTTATGAACTATGAAAAAGTCAGGATAATTCAACAACCTTCTATCCACATAAATAATTTTTATGAATTATTTCGAGTTTGCTTGGTTTCATTTTGTGCTGTTTCAATTGATTAATAAAGTCACCCACTATGGAGACGGAGAGCAAGAGTGTCTTCAATTATGGTGCACTTTAAGTTAGTCGGCACAGTGTTATATCAATGAATTCTAATAAAATTTGAAAAACAATCCCCATACATGGATAAGATTCATGTCCAATAGACCTTTTCCTTGTTATTATAAAATCATCTTGTATCCCATCATTTTTTGTTGATCGACACATTTCATATCCATATTGATCAAAGCTATTCCTGACTCATTGTGGCAAATGACTTTTTTGCCAGTTAACATCTTTGTGTTTATATGTCAGATATATACAGGGAAACAAAGAGATTGTTTAGTATGGTACCGCTGGTACCAGTTGATGTGTCTCATTTTGGAAGAACGACCTCGCTTTTTGATAGATTCTGATAATTGAGATTTTTTTTTGCTTGATGGATATTTGCTAGTACCTACCTAAAGAATTTGTTTCTGATGAAGGGAGCATAATCGAAGCTCTAGAAACCGATAAACCAAAATGAAATTCTTGGGAGAGAAACGTCTCTTTCCTCTTCATACTTTTGGACAATAAGGACACACAATGGGCGACGACGTACTTGATATTTGAACAACACAGTGTTGTCAAAATTATTGATATGCTATTAGATGTGCCTACTAACTAACTGCTTCAAGGGCAGGCAACAATATATGTACAGGGTGGCCCGTTTAAGAGGGGCCTATACCTTATCTCGAAATCTACAAGGGCTGTGAAAAAAACTTAAATACAAAAGTTGTTTCTAATAAAATTATCTACAAGTTTTTTGTGTTGTTTTTGTTGTCACTCTACCATATACAGGGTGGACAAATGAAATTTAATTTCTTTAATGGGACACCCTATATTTTAATAGATTTTTACATACCCCTTTGAAAGACAAATCCAACGATATACTGGTCATGTGTCTGTGATAAACCGTTTCGAACTTATTAGCGATTATCTTCAGGATTTGGGGTAATTTTCAACAGTCATTGTTACGTGACTCATAAACTTTTAAAACTTTTTTTTGTATGACATTTTCTATAAAATAATGCGCTTCTTTAGAATATATTCAAATTTGAAATATTTGCTTTTAAAACGCGGTGTTGCCACGTTTCGAAAAATGTTACGCCTTTCAATTTTTTTAAATGGGACCTTCTGTAAATTTTCGAGTTTTTGGATAGCCCTTTAAAAGACAAATTCAACGATATACTGGAAATGGGTCTGTGATGCATGTTTCGGCCTGATTAGCATTATCTCCAGTTCTAGCACAATATTTCATCTGTCCAAGTCGCCCGGTGAACAACAAACATATGTCTATTTTCCGTCGACCAATCTATCAACGTGCTTTATTATTGTATAGAAAATTGTTCAATAATGCCACCATTAATGCATAAAAAGCACTATTTCAGCTAAGCTACTACAAAATTAGACATTTTTTTCATTCAACAGGGATGACATGAGATATTGTGCTAGAACTGAAGATAAACGCCAATCAGGTCGGAACGGTGCATCACAGATTCATGTCCAGTATATCGTTGAATTTGCCTTTTAAAAGGCTATCCAAAAACTCGAAAATTTACAGGTCCCATTTAAAAAAATTGAAAAGCGTAACATTTTGCGAAACGTGGCAACAGCGCGTTTTTAAAGCAAATATTTCAAATTTGAATATAGTCTAAAGAAGAGCATTATTTTATAGAAAATATCATGCAAAAAAAAGTTTTAAAAGTTTATGAGTCACGTAACAATCACTGTTGAAAATTACCCCAAATCCTGAAGATAAGTTCGAAACGGTAGATCACAGACACATGACCAGTATATCGTTGGATTTGTCTTTCAAAGGGCTTTGCAAAAATGTAATAAAATATAGGCCGTTCAATTTAAAAAAAAAATAAATTTTATTTGTCCACCCTGTATATGGTAGAGTGACAACAAAAACAATACAAAAAAGTTGTAGATAATTTTATTAGAAACAACTTTTGTATTTAAGTTTTTTTTACAGCCCTGGTAGATTTCGAGATAAGGTATAGGCCCCTCTTAAACGGGCCACCCTGTACAATACATACTCACTCGGTAGTGGAGGTTGAGAGCTTTCATTTGAGTACCTATTTGACCCGCTATTTGATTATACATTTGAAGGTGCAATGATTTTCTTAGCCATATAAGAGTGGCATCCATTTTTCTCGCCCTGTTTGGTGCCCTTTAGAAACTTGGAATAGTTTTATACGTAAATCCTTCATGATAATTATGCATTGAATTTTTATCATCATCAAATTAAGTGCAAAGTGTAAAAGATCATTCAAGTTTTTTAAAAGTCTGCTATTAAAATTGTTAGCGTTTTATTGTAAAAGTTTGCCATAAGAAGCACACTCTCGATACATATTATATATGTTCCTACTGTATGAACTGCCAGACTAATAATGGAACAGACCGCTTTTGCCAACATATAGAGATATATCAAAGTGTGGTTTACAAAATTTAAAAGATAATTTTATTCTGAAAACGCCAATTTGATCCAATATTTTTAGTAGACATATAAGAAAAGTATGTTTGTTGACAAAAGTTTTGAGGTACCTAACTAGGCACTGGGTTTCCACAAACAAACAAAAATTTAATTGGCACCTTTTGGGGTGATTTAAATAGAGAAAAACTGATTATTTAACAAATTCAGGATAACATAACATAAATATATTACAGAATTTGTGGTATGTAACAACTGGTTTAATTATACAAACAGTTTTCAAACCTTCTATAATAGATATTTTTTTCTTGCCCCCTGTATGCGCAACTCGTTCGTTTGTGAAATTTTGATTTTGTTATGTCAATTCAATTCTAAAATGCTTTATTGTATAATGATCAATCATTGTCTAGTTTACAAAGCTAAAATCAAAAAACAGCAGAGAAATAATTAATTAAAATGTAATTAAAAGAATTAATACGCTACAGCACCACAACAATAGAAGCATATAACACAAATTAAAATAAAGTTGTTGAAAATTATAGAAACTCTTATGATTAACATTGAAAATATCTATAAATAGTAATCAATTTTGTTTCGCCATAATAACTTAAAGATTTACAAACCTGAATTACTCAAAACTATGTCAAATTAAAAAAAAAAAAACAGCAATGAAAATAACAAACAAGAACACGTAAATTAGCAAAAACAATGTCCAAAGAAAATGAAAAATGCAAATAATAAAATTAAAACATATTGGCAAGTAGGTGTAGGTATACATACAGGACATGTTTCAAATGTTGGCCTAATTGAATGATGTTTAATGTGACTTGTATAATAAATAATATTATGGGTTTGCTCCTGGTCTGGTCAAAAGGAAATAAAATATCGAGTAGAATATACTTACTGCAATGGAAGACCTGGACCTGGAGTTAAAGTCTGCTCCTACAGAAAACCTACAGCAAGGGGTACCTACCAAACAAAAAAAAAATGACCTAAAATTTATAAGGTTTCACAAAAAAAACCAAGAGGTACTTATATGAAAAATTTGAGAAATCAGTTTTTTCTTTATTAACAAAAGACTAGAAATATGCAAGATGCTACCTCGAGTGCCACCTACACTCTATAGAAAGAAAGATGTTTAAAATCGGACCAGAGTGGCATGTTCAGGAAGAAATTCTGCTTGAAATTCTCTATTAAAGTTGAAAAACTGCGCATCGATATCTCTATTGAGTCACAAAATATTTAACTCTAAAGTAAAACTAAAAAAATAGGCTTGGTCTACTTCAGTGTTTGATATTATTATGTAGGTATAAAAAATAAATTTGAAAACTTTTTTCTAGGTTTGGCTTCAGCAGAATAGCGAGTAATTTGGCAACAAGATTGAGACTTCCATCTGGTGATAAATCTGAGGCCGACAGCATAAATTCAACAGAAAATTAGGTTTAGTTAATTATACTAATAATTATTTATTTTTTGAATAAACAAAATTATTGCTTCTAATCACCTTAAACTTCAATTCCTTCTAGTTCTGCCTGCCTAAAGGGATCATCCGCTGTCCCTTCTTTAAGTGCTTTTGCCCTTAAAGCTTCTTGCGTCCTTAGCATTTCAAATTTCGTTTTTGAAAAATTATATCTAAAGAATGTACAATTAGAAAAAAATTGTACGTGTATGTATGAGTTTTTAAAACATACCTGCAATACATCCAATAGGAAACAGTAAACATCGAAAAAGAATATACTGAATAATTAACAGACTTAGCTACTCTGCTTGTAAACATGAAATGGGCCAAACCAAAACCTAAACCACCCAGAGTCCCATATAGAAAACTGTTTCGGAAACATGGAATCTTTGACACGTCTCTGCCATATATCATTAGGCTCTGAAAAGTGATAATTTCAATTGAATAAGTAGCGGTTCTGTATAAAGGAATATTTAAAGAAATGAACTAGGTAAACAAAATTTTAAGAGAATACTTCGAATATTTATATAATAGAAAGTGACGCTTGGTGTTACGATTTTTCGCCAGTGTTTTAGTACCTTATCATCAGGTTGTTCTTCAGCCATTGTGATAAAATAATTCCTAAATAATTGATAAATTGAGAAGAAATTAGATAATATTTTTTCTCCAAAAAAGGCAATGGAAAAAGTATGGTTATGTAAAAAAAAGTAAACAAATGAAAGGAAACGAAAATGACAGGGTATAATGGCGTTTTCCATTGGTAACATTGCGCACTGAGTGCAATAATTATATTCTCATCGGAGCATGTTTTTGTTTCGTAGTGGAAATTCAGAGCATCGATTTTTGTTCCGAGTGTAGTTTTATGACTTGAAAGTGAAGACGAACCGTGCGTTCGATATTATAATCTGAGTTCTCCGAGCTCCGAGCTTAAATTTACCGTTCGTTTATTTAAAAAATGTGCTCCGTGCAGGCTCATTCGCGTTCGTTTATTAAAATTTCGAGGGCTCTGATACAGGGTTGCGTTCGACAACAGGTTTGTCGTATAAAATCACACAGCTGCCGTTCAAAAAGGCGGAGTGTGGATAAAAAACACACGGTTTTCGACGTTCGGAAAGGTGGTTGTCACGCAAGGAGAATACACACTCTAAGGAGTGCTTATCGGCCTCGTTTCTGGTAATCGCCGCCATATTGATTTTCAACCATTGCCGACGTCATAACTAAGTCGTCAGCTGTTTGAACAGCCTACGTCAAGGCGAGAAACGCCATGCTGCTTACGTCACAACTGGCTGTTTGGCTTGAGGGGAAGGGGGGGATTTGTTACACACGGGCCTTATGTAGTAGTAGTGTGTATCATCCTTGGTTCCTTGGTTGTCACGTACTGGTGCGCGCACCGGACACTCCAGTCCTGAGCCGTTTTCTCGCGTCCAATTTTTTCAAAACTGTTTTGAACCAATATCAAAAAAGTGGACACGAGAAAACGGCTCTCGACTAGAGTGAAAAAAAAAGGTCCACACTTTATTGTGGAAAACGAACAAGATGCAGAAGGCAATTGGCTCATTTTAGACAAACTTGGTTAACTTAGTAAGTAAACCACTCGGTCACCGTTCGAATACCTAGAGCAAGATTCGCAAACCGAAGTGTGTCGGACCCCCACTCCTTGAAATAATTTTCATACCAACAACAAGGTTCTCGAACGCAACCCAGCGTTTAACTGCTCTGTGCGCTCGTTGGTAACGTGATTACTGCTCCGCTTCAGCACGCTCTGCTCTATGAGCAAAATACCGAACGCGAGGGAAAAAAGTTTAATTATTTTCGAAAGAAATTCTTTACCTAAAATTGAGGAAATAAACAGCAAGTTAACCATAGTATAAAAGTATTGAATAGGTAACCAAAGTAAAATAATTAACCATAATACCAAACTACCTCATTCAAAATCAAAACGCACCGCAAAAAATTCTAGTTGGTTGAGTGTCAGTGCAATCTGAGCGCAGCACTGATTGAGGGGGTTGGCCAATGGAAAACGCTTAGGTCACCGAAATGTCAACCAAAAATTCATTCGCGGCATATAACGAATGGTTATCACTCACTGTTATCAGATTCTAAGCTGTTTGTTTTGTTTGAATTGTTGAATAGAATAGAAGATTTACATTATACGATAATTCGTCGCGCATGCGCGGATATATAATAGGACGCGTCATCTCGCGGTCTTCGCTGATACTTCTACTTAGAAGAATACAAAAGTTAAATGTACTAAAACCAAATATGCATAAAAGCAAAGACAATACTACTACTTCGTAGTAATATTGTCTTTGATAAAAGCAAAAATCAACGCCATCATAACCTGTAGCGAGAAACGACACGCTGCCTACGTCATCACTGGTACTTTGGCCTGGTGGGGGGATTGATTAATTTATCAATTAACTGATGGGAGACACAAAAATTTATTATTATCAATAATATTTATTACTATCAAAGTTGTTGCAGATAGGCAGAGAAATCCAATAAAAAATAAATCACAAATTCAGTGGCGCACCCAGAAATTTTGTGTGGGGAGGGGCATGCAGAAAAAAATATAGGAATATGCACAGACCCACTATCCTCTATGCTTTTTATGCCATGAGCAGTTTACAGTTTTGGTCCACTAGATTATTTTTCTTTTTTTTTCTGAAGCCTTGGAGGAAGGGACCCGGGCCCCCTTGCCCCTCCTCATTTCTGAGCCCCTGCAAAAATTACAGAAACATTAATTTTTCTGTTAGATATTAAATTTGTCAAAAACTATACCGGTATGAACCGTTAAAACCGAAATTATTGGTCCGAACCGAAACGAAATATTTCTCTTAGAACCGGAACCGTAACGGAATCGATATTTGTCATGACGCTGTGGACCGGTACCGGAACGGAACCGATATTTCCTTTTGGTTCGGGTCCCTGCTCCTGAGTTGCTCTAGAGCGCCCCGAGCTGTGAGTGCATTAGAATTTAGCGCAACTGAAACTGAACTGATCGTTTTTCCTCTTCCCTGCCCTCTCAAGCACCTGCAATTTTATTAGTTGTATTTCTTTCACACCTAGGAGGAGCTCCGGAACAGCTCCGGGGCGTTATGCCCTTATTCCTTTCGAAAAGTGTTTGTTGCACCTGAGTGCTCAAGCCCGACTCCAACCATTTAAGACGTCTTTTTCTGACGGAATGTTTTGAAATGTTTTGAAACGTTTTAAAACCTTATATTTTTGTGTTGCAACGGTGACGTCATATACGGAGGCGGTTCAACCAGTTTCAAACCGCTCTTTCAGCCTGTTTCAAAATAAACGTTAAACAGCTGATCTCGAAATACCACAAAACAATAATTTTGGGGATGTCGCGGGCTCCGTTTTAAAACGGGGCATTTTTGATCACCACCGATCCGATATGATGACGTAGCAATCGAACCAGTTTTGAAACGTTTCAAAACACGGTTCAACAGAAAAAGACGTCTTTAAATGCGTGAAAGCCAGCGCATCTGTTCCTTTCAAATCGGGGTCGACTAGCACCGGAGCGAGTAGCTCAAGTGTTTCAAGCTCTTGAAAGGAATACAACTATTGGTGCATCAAAAACACGACACTTAGGGCGGGTATTATAAAACTACTTTGAGAGTTAACTTAAAGTTAACTTCTGGAATTACACGTAATTCAAAAAGTTAACTTCAAGTTAACTGTCAAAGCCCTAAGGGCCCTTAGGGCGGGTATTATAAAACTACTGTGAGAGTTAACTTGAAGTTAACTTCTGGAATTACATGCAATTCAAAAAGTTAACTTTAAGTTAACTGTCTGAGCAGTTTTATAATACCCGCCATTAGGCTATGTTCCGATATCAACTGCCAGTACTGGATTTATTGTGCCGATTTTACTGTCATTTGCCGTTCCGATTTCAACAGCGTACTCTTGTGGTCATTCAGTACTGAATCGACTGGATCCAGTGTACTGGAAATAATATCGGAACGGCGTCCAGTAAATTCAGTACTGACAGTTGATATCGGAACATAAGTAGGATGGGTTCCAGTGAAAAAACAGTTGTTTGGAGCACCAGTATGAAGTTACAGGTGTGGAGCACTTTAAAATTCAACACTGGACTGGAAAGCGGCTCTTATAACGGCAATCCGAATTGACAAGCGGAGTCCGCGAGACAGCGCGCCAGTTCCGATATGCCGCGATTGAAGCGGCTAGCGGCTCATTGAAAATATATCTGCGCATGCGCGACGTTATAATTGACCGCCAAACGTAAAATTTGGTTGAATTCGACTATATATTGTCCAATAAAATTAATTATAAAGCCTAATACTCATAATTGCGAAATTCGTTTTTTTTTTTACATTGCTTCGACAATTTGACGTTTGATACACGCATAAAACGTCAAATTGTCAAAGCAATGTCAAAAAAGTGCAAATTTCGCAGTTATGAGTACTAGGCTTAAGTAGGTATATAACCGAATTTTCGCGACGAACTACTTCCATGATTTCATGAACACAAACGCTTTCGCGAGAAACTCATGACGTCATATTGAACGTAGTTCGACGGAAGCATGGACGCAGCTTCTAGCCAGCGTTGAAACTCATGACGTCACAAACGAACTATGGATGAACTACATTCGTCGGGAAAATTCGGTTTCTGTGGGCCATGAAATTTTGAATTGTTGATTACGGCCAAAGTAATTACCACCAAATGATAAAAGTGAGATACCAAAGACTACCAAAGGACCACCAAACGATTGCATTTGGCGAATATTAAAAAAAAAACATTTGGCCGGCTAACCTTGCGTTCGGTATTTTGCTCAAAAAGCAGAGCGGAGCCGTAATCACGTGACCAGCGAGCGCACAGAGCAGTTAAATGCTGTATCAGAGGGCTAGAAATTTTAATAAACCAACGTGAATGAGCCTGCACCGAGTACACTTTTTAAATAAAGAACTGTAAATTTATGTTCGGAGAACTCAGATCAAAATACCGAACGCACGGTATATGTTGCCCGGTTCTTGCATGTTGCCTAATAGCGTATTTCATTGGTAGAGCAAGTGCAACACTCGTTTTGCACTGACACTTTTAAAAAACTGCACGCGTGCAGTCCCAGTAGTTGTATTCCTTTCAAGAGATTGAAACACTCGAGCTACTCGCTCCGGTGTTTAGTAGCCCCCGATTTGCAGAGAACAGTTGCGTGGTGCAACAAACACTTTTCGAAAGGAATAAGCGCGTGAAGCCCCGGAGCTGTTCCGGAGCTCCTCCCAGGTGTGAAAGGAATACAACTAATGAATCATCATCGTACTGCACTATCTTATATACGTGACTATACGTCAAACCTCAAATATGGAATTTCCTTAAAAAAATTATTTTTGTGCTTATTATAAATAATTATTATAATTTAAATTTTAAAAAAAGTTCTTCCCTCTCTGCTAGAAGTAAATATTCTTCCCTTACGTTCGGTATTTTGCTCAGAGAGCAGAGCGTGATGAGCGGAGCTGGAATCACGTGACCAGCGAGCGCACAGAGCAGTAGAACGCTGTATTAGAGTACCAGAAATTTTAATAAACGAACGCGAATGAGCCTGCACCGAGTACACTTTTTAAATAAACGAACGGTAAATTCAAGTTAGGAGAACTCAGATCAAAATACCGAACGCACGGTTCATATTCACTGGTTTCACTGCTGCTGCTACTTTCCATCAAAGGCAACTGCCATTAACAAGCGATTTTCGAAATTTTTGCTAGTAGATTTGCAGACAAATATAAAAAACACAATAAAAAAATTAAATTTGGGACTGTTTTTATGAAAAACCGTCAACCACCGTCCACCAATAACCTCAATTTCAAAAATAACAATAAACAACTGCACTGAGTGCGACACGAGCTTTTTAGCCGGTGGCGCACCGACAGCACTCAGTGCAAAACTCAGTGCATTGCTTTCCCAAATGAAATACAAAAGTGCAGCGCGGACTCTGCCACTGGATCACGAATATTGCACCAGTGTTGCACTTGCTCTACCAATGAAATACGCTATAAATCGTAACCACCTGCGTTCGTTGACAGTTGACAATTTTTGTTATGAGTGAGTAGATGGCGCTTCTGTTTGTAAAACAGTGATGTGGCTTTCACTATTTAGAAAAACACAATTTCTTAAAGTATGCCAGAATGTTTAGTTTTAAATCCTTACATTTTGTTGTATTTGCTTTAAATATTTGGCTGGGGCAGGCAGAAATCTCTGACAAACGTCTATGTATAGACGAAAAATGCTCAGGTATGTCAACATTCAACAACAACTGTATTCAACAAATTCCTTTACCTTTTCGTGGGTCCCATTTTAGAACTTATTGCCCTCGGAAAAACCCTGTTGAGATACCCCAGTCCAGAGGCTGACATCTTATCTTTTGGCCCCAATGAGGACGTAGAAATATTCAGCTATGGAGCTGGTAATAGAGAAGAATTAATTGGTGTAAAGTTAAACGGTAAAAGAGGATACATTAATAAGGCTCATGTGAAGGAAACTAAACTCATCAAAAGACCCAAACTTGAAGTAAGCACAAAATTAGATCAGGAATCAGCAGGAGTGCCTGAGGATGTTTCCTTAAGTGACATTCAGGCAAATCCTACACAGGAACCTTTCGAGATTGTAGATGGAACTAGGATTCCATTGGATTTAAGTACAGAAGCGCCTGTTCAAGAAACATTGTCTTTGAATATTGGTGAGTAATCTTTTCAGTTTTGCTTGTGTTACTGGTAATTTCTCCTGAATTTCCTCAACAGTACTTGAAGTACTGGTATCGGGGACTTGAGTATACCTCTCGGCATACCTACATAATGAGGTGCTCATTACACTAGAGTAGTCATTGAACGAGTCATTGAATTATATTAACTTATATCGGGTCTTCAAAAAAAAAACCAATCGAAGATTGCTATGATTACGAAAACGTACGTCGCATTACTGTTTTTTTATTCGTCAGGATTTTTGACGTGACATTTTGACATCAAATTTCATTGACAAAATTAAAGACAAATATTGCTAAGACATACATTTAAAAAACCATAGCAATCTTTGATTGGTTTTTTTTTGAAGACCCGATATAATGTAGAACAAAGTATAATAATTCCGAGAATAATTCACTTGAAAAAATTTAATGTTCTTGAGACCTCACCAATTGGATTTGGCAGTGCTAATTTAGACTGTTCAATAATGATGGTCAGTTTTAATCACGTCTTTTAAGCTGGAAGAGCAAATTCAGCAGAATCAAAAATCAATACATGGAACATTAAAGGCTAATTAAATGCCTTAAGGAAAAATTTAAGGCTCCGCCAATTTTCGCGAATATGGCTGTTCTGCTAGCTTTAACTTAAACCAGAAGAACATGACCAAAAATTTGACTAAAAAAACAAAAATTGCAATTCCACTTGCAGACACATTAAAGATAGATAGATAGATAGATTCTTTATTCGATCATGTAAAAAAGACAAATACAATTCACAGTATACTGCGTATCACAAGTTTTCTACATTTTTACCTCTAGGGTGTTGATCATGTCATTAATAAATAAGATTATTACATATACTACTACATATAACAATAATAATTTCAAACATACAAACACAAAATATAAAATATAAAAATATAAATAGTCACAAAAATCTTTAAAATTTACATAATACAATAAGGAACACATAAATCAAATATTGCTCTTGCAATTTTCAGTTGTCCTGAGCCCTCGAGTGCCTGCACAGAAAGGACCAAGTGTGCGTCCCCATCTATGCCATTTGTCTGTGTTAGTTTGGTAATGATTGCTTGTGTGTTTTGATATTAAGAAACTTTACTTTACCAAGTTGTCAATTTGTGGATCAGTGAAAAACTCATCCAGACTGTAGTAAGCTTTTGAGTTTAGGAATGTTTTAATTTCTCTTTTGATATTCTGTGGCGGTTGCCTTCGAAATGAAATGGGAATAGCATTCCAGACCCTCAGAATGCTATGCTTAACGTTCTTTGCAATGTATGAGTACTGAGCGGTTTCTGTTTTTAAGTTTTCTTTAAACCTAGTATCATGGGGGTGGTCTGCTTTTAATTGGTCAAAAATATCTGGGTTTTCTGAAACAAATTTTATGCACTCTAAGATGTAGATATTAAAAATTGTTTCCACACTACTCTCAATAAAAAGATTTTTACAACTTTCCGTACTTTTTCTTTGATAAATTGTCCTTAAGCACCTTTTCTGAAGCTTCAGAATTCTTTGCGACTCCGAGACACTACCCCAAAAAATGACACAATATCTCACCCTTGATTGGATCTAAGCTTCGCAAGCTGTTAGCGCTGCCGAGCAGCCTGCTGAGTCTCTAAGAACCCTTAGGGCGTAACAGTATTTACTCATGCTTGTTGCAAGCTGGTCAATATGTGCACGCCAGTCCAGCCTCTCATCTAGCACCACTCCAAGAAAGGTAACATTTCCCTTTGTAGCAATTGTAGTGTCATTGTAGTCAATCATTATTTCTTCAGGTTTTAGATTGAAGTTTATAATTTGTGTTTTTGCCACATTAAGTTGAAGATTGTTGTTTGTAAACCAATTCTGAAGACCTTCAAGTGATTCCCGGACATTTGTGACACATTCGTTTTTGGTTTTGTTACAACAGAGCACAGAAGTATCATCGGCAAAGAGTACCACCTCATTTTCTAGTACATTTGCAACATCATTTGTATATATTAAGTAAAGCAGTGGGCCCAGTATTGAGCCCTGGGGTACGCCCCTTTTTATGTAGGCAAAGTTCGATTTTTTTACCTCCCCTAGGCTATTTTCTGCCAAGTTTTCTATGATTTAAATATGACTCGAACAGTCTCAGAGGTGTGTCTCGTACTCCGATCCTCTCAAGCTTTCGACAGTGTAGACCACAGCCTGCGATCCTCTCAAGCTTTCGACAGAGCAGGCCGTGGTCTACACTGTCGAAAGCTATTGAGAGGTCCAGACAGACGGCCATGGTGACATTGTTCTTGTTTCGTGATTCCAAAATTAGATTTAGTGCTGTGTAGATAGCTCTCATAGTGGATCTTTTCCTTCGAAAACCATTCTGTTTTTCACTCAACAAGACATTTTCTTCTAAAAAGTTTAATAATCTTATATAAATTGATCTTTCAAAGATTTTACTAAAGTTGGATAACAAGGAAATTGGTCTGTAGTTTTTTAGATCACTTAGAGTACCCTTTTTGTGGATTGGTTTTAGCAGTGCAATTTTAAGATTGGCAGGAAAGATGCCATTTTGCATCGATAGATTTATCAGGTATGTTAATGGCTCTGCAAGTGAATTTGCGCAAGCTTTTATAATGCTAACAGGGATCTCATCATATCCGGTAGATTTTTTATTTTTTAGATCTTTTATGATTTTCAAGGTTTCTAGAGCTGTCAAGGGTCGGAGTTCAAGATTCTTTTTACACACAGTGTCAGATTTATCAGCCTGGCTACTACTGCTCTCTGACATCACATCAGGGCATATGTTTACAAAAAAGTTATTCACATCATTCAGGAACTCAGTCTCATTTTCATATTTAAAGTGGTTTAGAATTGAGTCTTTTTTTATTGTTTTTGTGGCAGCTATTTTTTTAATTAAGCTCCAGGTTGCCTGCTGTTTGTTTTCAGCATTTTGTATAAAGTTTTTGTTGCTGAGCTTCTTTGCTTGTTTTATTACCTGTTTGAGTATATTTGAGTATTTTTTGTAGTGGTTGCATTAAAGGCTCCGGAAGTACACCAATCGCAAATTTCAGGCTCAATTACTTTTTTGATTTAGTAAATTTTGAAAAGTCTGATTAAAATTGCTATGTACCCAAACTACCCGGGTTATTATCGGTAAATTTGGAAATGTCTGATGAAAATTGAAAACTTACCCAAACTTCCTCATTACAGCATCTAATAAGCCTTCAATAAGTCACTAAGTTCATTGTCCCAAAAGGTTTTCACACCATGCTTGGCCGACCACATTCAGGCGATGTGACTTTTCACATTTTCTGTGCAAATGGAATTGCAATTTTCGTTGTTTTACCCACTTTATCACTCTTTTTCTGCTGGTTTAAGTTAAAGCTAGCAGAACAGCCATTTTTGCGAAAATTCGCGGATCCTAAAATTTCTCATTACAGTATGCCTTTAATGTATTCACAACGATTACACTATTGAAACACTGATTTTCACCGTCAGAGGTTTTTCCGCCATGCTTGGCCGACATCATCCACGCATCGCGACTTTTCGCATTTTCACAATAAAAGTAATTGAGCCTGAAATTCGCGATTGGTGTATTTCCGGAGCCTTTAATGAGCCTGTAATGTCTGTGCAAGTGGTATTGCAATTTCCGTTCTTTTAGCTACTTTTTCGCTCATGGTCTGCTGGCTTAAGTTGAAGCTAGCAGAACAGCTATTTTCGCAAAAATTCGCGGAACCTAAAATTTCTCATTACAGCATTTAATTAGCCTTTAATGTATTTACAACGACTGCATTTTCGGAACACCGTCTGAGAGGTTTTTTCGCCTTCCCGGCCGACATCACCCACGCATCACGACTTTCCCTATTTCACAAAAAAAGTAATTGAGCCTGAAATTTGCCATTAGTGCATTTCCGGAGCCTTAAATGAGCCTTTAATGTCTGTGAAAGTGGAATTGCAATTTTCTTTATTTTAGCCACTTTTTCGCTGAAGTTCTGCTGGCTTAAGTAAAAGCAAGCAGAACAGTAATTTTCACGAAAATTCACGGTGCCTAAAATTTCTCATTGGGGCATTTAATTAGCCTTTAATGAGCCTTTAATGTTTCATATGTTGATTTCGGATTCTGCTGACTTTGCTCTTCCAGCTTAAGAGACGTTTTTTAATCAGTGCCTTTTTAACATCTTATGTAGGTAAATCTTTTGTGAGATCTTTGGTATGTGTGCAGTAGTCAAGATAAAACAGTGTTTTTAGACTTGAGTATTTTTTTCTGCAGTGTTTTAGTTTTTTCCAAATATGATGCACTGCAAGTATCCCACACTGGAATAAAATATTTCATAACTGATAGAAAATATCAAGGAAAATATGCATTTGAAAATTTTATACGTAGCATTATTACTCAAAAAAATTCTGCACCAAGTAATTTGTTTTGTATGTGTTCTGTATGTTCTACCCGAGGCTTTACATATGTGTGGTTTTCATCAAGAACAAGTTTAAATCCGTTTCGCAAGCAGTTTCACTTATTCTTATGTTTTTATTATTAACAATTTTATTTTTCTACTTAAATATCATATATTTAGTTTTTATTTATTATTGAACAGCCAGTTATAGGTAATAATGATAAATATAATATTAGGTCTATTTCTGCAGAAATCACAAACCAGTTAGGCAGTGGTTCCCAACCTTTTTTTAGGCACGACCCTTTTACAGATTTACTCATAAGGTCGCGACCCCTCCCTACCCATTAATAAATAAAAAACTAAATTTCATTTATTCAAGAAATCTTCAACAGAAATATTAATATTTCGTAACTAAATACAAAAAGTCAATTTTTATTTTGTTAGATGACTGAGCTTGCATCTAGGTAACAAGTTTTGAAAATCTTGGTTGAGTTTTTGTTAAAGCCAATCTTATGTCATCTTCAACGCCCAGTCTATTTCTGGCCTTTGTTCTAATTTGCAAAAGAGTTGAAAACCCACTTTCACGAAGGTAGGCAAGTAGAGGCAAATGGTATTACTATCCAAAAAGAAAACAGGACGACATAAGGATATGAACTATGCATGACACATTAAAATTCAGTCAAGATTTTTTCCTGAAATAGGGCAAGAGCTGTGGAATCATTCCTCAACTGCAAAAATGTATCCTGGACTTCATGAGGAACGTCATCAACATCTAAACGAGGCTTAGCAAGGGGTTCCTTACTGCTGCAGCTTTTTGTTCAGATAATTCGGAAAAATAACGACCATTTCATTCTCAAGGGATTGAAGGTGATAATCAATTTTCTCTTTTAGATTCTCCATAATTTCTGTTTCTGATCCTTCAGCCATTATGCATAGCTACCTACCTATGTTCAAAAACATGCGACTCACAACACAATACTCACAACCTGTCCTAAACTCTGTCTAACCAAAGTTGAACGTTGAAGGTCACTTACTCATCCTTGTAACCATAGGATTCACACGTTCGGACCTATTTTGGTTTGATAAACACAATGCGCGTGCAATAAAGACAGCAGTAAAAGGCAACGCCTGTGATATATTCGAGTAAGTGACCTTCAACGTTCAACTTTGGTTAGACAGAGTTTATGCGCTTCGTCCGTGAGGCGAATGCAACGGTGCGCGGCTTTTGAGGCGGAGGCTAAGGCGTGTTGTCAAATCCAGAAAAATATATATAAATATTGGCATCGCGACAGGGCCTATTTTACCAAAAGGCAGATAAGGCCCCGGCCTTGGGCCCGGTGTAAAGTGGGGCCGCGAGAAAGAGTTGAAAAAAAATATATTAACATTTCAATTTGTAAATAAACTCCAAAAAAAAAAAACGAATATTCCGGTATCTCATTCAGAAAATTAAATGAAATTAGACTTTTAGGCTGGCCTCATACAGTCGGAATGTCTTTCTGAATTCAGAAATGGAATTCATAATCTGAATTCATAACGTACGGAAATGTATACAGGGTGTCCCCGTATACAGAGAATACTGGTCACGGAATTTTTAAGATATGTGTGCGGCGATGTGCCGGATTTCAGATCCTGAATTCTGTTCCTGAATTCAGAATCTGAATTCATAACGTACGGAATTGTATATATTTTTATTATACAGCTCACACATTCTGATTTTTTCAGATTATGAAATTTTCCTATCGATCTGCCAGATTGACTCTGACGAGTGTTTTGAATTCATCTGAAAAATTAGGATTATGATTTATAACGCATGTTTTTTCCATATGTCTCAAATATACAAGCTCACACAGCCGGAATTCAGATTCTGATTCTTCCCTTCCAATCAACACTACTCAAAAGATGCCGCAAACTATAGGAGAATACTGGATGCGGAGTTTTTAAGATATGTTTGGTTGGGGCAATGTGCCAGACTTCAGATCCTGAATTCTGTTTCTGGATTCAAAAAGACATTCCGATTGTATGAGGCCCGCCTTGGATTGTGCAATTGATTTTCGATTTAAAAAACAGAAGATGACACCCTCCCCCCCCCCCCCCTCCCTCAATGTGCGCATCCCACGAGGAACCGCCGCTGTACCTATTATTGTCATCATAGGATATTGGGGACCCGAAGTTTTGCTTGGGCCTTGGGGCCCAACTGAATCAAAAATAGGCCCTGCATCGCGACCCCTCCAAAAACCCTATGCGACCCCCTTGGGGGTCGCGACCCACTGGTTGGGAACCGCTGAGTTAGAGTGAATTTCATTGGTTGAAACTGGTTTCCTGACTGTTTTCAACCAATGAAATTCGCTCTGACTGGTATATATGTTAACAATAGTAGAGTAGGTTAGCGATTTACACTGATGAAGCTATCAAAAGTCAATTGTTAATGTATTACATGTTCAAACCTATAAAAATACCATATTATTTAATAGACTTTTAATCAATAAGTCAATGCCCTGACAATAAATTAGCGGGGTCAAAATTTAGAGCAGTACAAACGTTTCTGCTGCAGTTACACAAGGCGCTAATGAAATACAATAAACCAAAAAAATCATGAAACTAATCAAACATCACAAGCAAATGAAAAAAAAAACATACCACAACAATCGAGGAGTACAAAAGTTCTGCTGCAGTCACATAAAGTGCTAATAAAATACAATAAATAAAAAATATTAAATTATTTAAGCCGTTTCTTCAAAAATAATCCCTGAAATCATTGTTATAAAATTCAGTGAGACTGTAATATACTTTCATAAATCAGAGAACTCTTGGTGAGGGCACTCTTTGGGATTGGCAAGCCTAAGTTAGTGGGTAGGGTAAGTTCTTACCTGAATAGTATTATTTTGAACCTTTTTAAATATTGGACATACCTTGTTGTTTGACAAGAGGTCTACAGGAGTCACGAAATTTTGCTTTACGAATGTACCTTATTGCCCGTTTTGCAAGACGAAAACTGAATGAAAAAGATATTGACTACAGAATCCCCAAAAAGCGATGCCATGTCGCAGATGACTGTCGATGAGAGAAAAGTAAACAGATCGTGAATTTATACTTCCCAGTTCGCCAAACACAATCTGAACTGCAAAGCATCTCCTTGCTAGCTTCTAATTCAAAGCACAGACATGCGTATCAAATTTTAATTTTTCGTCAATAAACATACCAAAAAATTTTGTGCTATCCTTATTGATATACAGCCCTCCAATTTAATGTCATCACATTTAAATCTAAAAAAAAAGCAATTTAGAGTTGCATCATTCCCTAATTGCTCTCATATCTTCAGAAACAACAGTAAACAGTAAATCTATTGGATGTTTTAACAAATTCTGGCAACTTATTACCTATATTATAATAATTCATAAAACAAACTATTCTGATCAAAGCTACTGCTTGACATATGCAGATAACAATTGTCTCTTGACCTTGTGTCATGGTTGTGGATTTCTCTAGAAGTTATAAAATGTTTTCTATGGGATTTTCTCTGTCTCTAACTTTAGGAAATGTCAGTGGGAATGTCCACGCAGTTGTAAATTTTCACTAAGTTTAAACGGAATCGCAGAATCGCCATCAAAAGTTTTATTGGTTTCTATTAAATCACCCAAGAAATCAACGCTTAGTCTCCCGACTTTTAATGTTGTTATATTTAGTTTTGAGAGGCGAGATTCATAGCTGTCATGATATAGTCCTTGTGGAATTTCAGTCACTCTCTGCCAAGGTCTGAACATCTTCCAACATTTTTATATCTATTATATATATATTTGAATTTAGGATGTATGTATGACTTGTAAACTTTCAAGACAAAATCTGTTAAACCATCCACCTTGCTTATGTTACTTTCCCATTTCAAATCGTTTGTTATCAGTACTCTAAGGTCCTCCTGTCCTTGCATATGACTCAAAACTGCATTATTCATGGTATAAGTACACTACAGATGGTCTTCATGTTGTAAAATACAATCATCTGCAGATGCTTCAGTACAACTACTGTCAAGCACGTACTTTTTGACTATTAAAAATATATTTACGTACTACTGTTTGAGCGAGCCTGATGTTTCTTAAAAGTAAAATTAGGTAATCTATTTTCTACTAGCAAAATGATTTTTAATTGCTACATGACAATTATCTATAAAATAATTTTTAGATTCTTCTTTTTTGTTCATTTTCCATTTTGCTTTGTTTTTATAGTTTCATTTATGTTTTTATGTTTGTAATTTTATGGCCGTTTGATAGTTCCAAATTTTTGTATTATACATGTGTTTTTATATGTAATTTTTTTTTTCTTTTTTTGTGATTTTATTAACTAAGTATTTTTTGTATGTCCGCTTTGTAAATGAGAATTTTGTTCTTTCTACAATAAAGCATATTATATTGATTGATTTACATTTGAAATACATTGTGGTCATCCTAAAAATGTGTAATATATGCCTCTTTTGTCTCGCTTGACTGTGCACTCCAGTGGGTCGTTTTGATGGCATCAGTCCTTGAGCAACAATATTTTAACAGGTTTCCTGCTAACTTAATTTCAAGATGACAAAATTGCCATTTTCAGAATCAGCAAAACAAAGAGGTTGTCAAAGTTGTATATACCTTTTGACTAGCTTCCCTCCTAGTCTTAGTTTTAGGGCAAAATACTTAATAGTAATAGAGGTATTTTCAATAATTCCTTAAATATTCCATTGAACATTTATTCTCACAGAAATGCTTTATCAACCCAATTAAGTATATTGACCATGATAAATAAATGTGTGTTATCTCTAAACATGTTAGCTTTGTTCCAGCACAGCAGAAAACCATATAATCGAGTAATTCATTGACACAAAACCTAAAATTTGTGTGTAGAATCCAAAATATGTGTACAGAGTGGTTCCAAATCCGTTTATGGGAGGTTTTTTGACATGTTGGAACAGACCTATTGATTGTGATTATTGATTTTTAAACTAAATTACTTTGTCATAAGCTCAATGAACTTTAAACAATAATGTTGTTCAGTGTCGTATTTATTGTGATATTCACTTCACTTGTTATAATTTCAGACAATGAAAATTTGGATCGACCAACCCCATCTACACCCATAATAAATTTGCAACTAGAAAAAAAACTTGAAGATACTCAACAAATCTTGAAGGAAGTTACTGTGCCTCCGCCAACTGTTAACTTATTAGATGGGCAACAAAATGAAGAGCCTCAAGAATCGAATTTACCCCAGTCAAAATTAAATTTGGTAGATGATAAGAAACTTGATGAAACTCCACAATCTTTGGAAGAGGATGGAGATGCAGAAGAAGATGATGATGATGAAGAGGATATTGATGATGATGAAGAAGAAGAAGAAGATAGTAAAGAGAATACAAGTATTAATGAAACTCCATTGGAAGGTAATAATAAAGTTGAAGAATCTGCTGACAAATCAATAAGTTTTGTTGAAAAGGAAGAAGCAGGAAGCGCTGTAGAGATAGAAAATAATACTATGAGTGAAGTGAATGAAGCAGTTGCAGAAACTGATCCCAATTCAAAAGAGACAGTCTCATCACTGCCAAAAACCATGGATTCTCTACAGACAGGTACACCACCAAGTACCGTAGAAGAACAACTTCCAATTCAAACTAATACTAGTAGTTTAGTAACTGAAGAATTAGCTCCAAGTCTTCCAGAAGCTTCTGATCATATCCCAATTAAACTAGAAGTCTCAGTTCCATTGGATGCAAATGATATAGTTAATGCAAATCCTCCAGAAGAATTACCGCCAAGTCTTCCAGAAGCTACTACTCAAATCCCAATTGAACTAGAAGTATCAGCTCCTTTGGATTCAAGTGACATAGTAACTCCAGATCCTTTAGGAGCTGATAACCTCGCTGAAATTCCAGTGGAGAAACCTGCACTACCTGCTAGTGGTGGGATATTTGGTGGGTTATTTGGTGGACGTGATGCAGATAATGTCGGCGAAGATAATGCTGAGCTGAAAGACATTCCAGAATTTAGTGCAGACAGTAACAATGAAAATCCTTCTAGTCATGAAGAGACTGAAATAAAGACTCATGAAGAGGCTGAAATAAAGACTAATGAAGTCGATATTGAAATCCTAGAGGAAAAATCTGATTCTGGGGAGTTGGGCCAAATTGCTGATGTAAAAGAAGAACCGAGTGGTTTTATTTCAGGATTTACATCAATATTTACTAGGAATAGTGTTGATAATAAGCCAGAAAAAAAAGATGTTGATAATATTAATGAAGCAGCCGAAAACACTTTTAGTGAAGAAAGTGATGCAGTAAACAATGAAAAACTTGAAAAAGAAATTATTGCAGAATTCCCTAATGAAAATTTAAATACTTTCCAAGAAGCCAGCTCTTCTAATTTGATTAATGAACAGCAGGAATTATGTGATGGCAATCCAGAAAAATGTCTGCAAACATCGAAACAAAGTTATTGTGATAAAGAGGATGAAGACTGTCTTGGTCTGCAAGAAAATACTTCTCATCAACAAGCAGGTCTAGTTGAAAGCCTTACTTCGGTAAATCTGCAGGACATTTTTATTGAAGCTTTCAGTTCAGACATGTTTCTATATTTAAGCACCACATCGCTTTCTGTGTTAATATTGATTTTCATTTGGATTTTGATGGATAAGTGGCATAGAGAAGGACCTTTGATAGCCAGAATTAATAAGTTAGAACAGCAATTGTTGGCTACCACTAAAGAAAATGAAATGTTGCAAGAGAATAGGGATGTAGTCATTGAAGAGAAAACCCAGATAATGGTGGAGGCTGTACCAAATGAGGTAAGAAATCACATGAGTGAAATTAGTATTGATAATAAATAAATGTCTAAATCTCTTTTCCACTAAGGTTGGTATTTTTTTCTTTTTCTTTTTGGGAAAACTGCATAATATGACTTTTTATCAAAAGGAAAGGCCAAGAGACGAATATAGTCTAAAATCAATCAGTTCGTAGCACAAAAAGATGAAATTTTGACCATGCATAGAATGTAGGTACTCATTATGGTGATAGGTGCCTACTTATATCATTAGCATGCATTTCTTGGTAAATTACAAAAGTTACAGGCCTAGAACTGTGACAAAACAAGATAGCTACTGTCAATAAATCATACAAGAATGTTACTTCAACCTCCTGCAAATAGCAAAATACTTTCTTACATAATCTTAGATATTGTTTAATAAAAAGGGTAGTTTTCAGAAAGTAAGTTTTTTATTTAGGAATTCTTTTTGAAAATTTGTCAATGTTTCGTTGTTTCCTACCAATTACATTCTCTTTGAAATAGTGATATTAAAACTCTATTCACGTCAAGATTTGCGTTGTTATAAATAATAATTTATAATCATATTTTGACTGTATTTATATTTGATAGAGCAATTCAAATTTAGTAGGAAATGATCCCAAGATTCAAATGATTAGATTAACAAAAGATAAATTTCAATGAAGAATTTCCAATATTCTGACCATCATTACGTTGTGCTCATGCAATCCTACAATTTGTTTTATTGCCATGATGGGTACCACCAATTGTTACCAGCTGGTAACGATATGAAAATAGTTCTAATTAGGCTAAATCAATTTATATTTAATTTGAAGTATGGCAGATCAGATGAAAAATTTGACTGAATAAGCTGAGTATGGTCTGGGGTTTTTTATTATTTTATTGGCTTATCAAAGTTCTCTCTCTCCATTGAAAAGGTTTTTATATGGTTGGAAGGAGAAAAAAGAATTGGATTATCCAAGATAGGGTAGAGCTTATGTTAGCTTAGATAATCGTGAATCTGTTGTACTTTCAAAGTGATCTAATCTACTCTAACTTGATATATTTTTAGGTGGTGGAAAGACTGAATGCCAAAATCTCGGCAATGGCTGAAGAAAAACTAGCATTGGAAGAGCAAATTCAAGCTCTAGAAAGAGAATTGGATACGTCAACAGAAGTAGGCATCGAATTGAACAAATTAATATCAGAAATGCTAAATTCTTCTGATGGAAGTGAAATTCTTAAAGAAAACATCGAACAGATGCAAAAGAGAGTATTGGAACAACAGGATATCATTAATAATTTAAATGAAACTTTGAGAGTCAAAGAAATGAAAAGCCTTGAAGTAAAGATAGAGTTGGAACTGAGTAATAAAAAAACTGCAGATTTGCAAAATGAAGTTGACAGAATGGTTGAAAAAATACTAAAAATTGAAGAAGAAAAAGAGCAGCAACTAAAAGTTTTGGAAAGTGAAATTGTTATTTACCAAAACAAATGCAAGGAAGCTTCAACCCAGGAGCTCGTGCTAAAAAACGAAATTCTAAACTTGAATCAAAAATTCGCTGAACTTCAAAGAACTGCAGATACGAAAATTAAAGAGTATAACACTCTTAAAGAAACTTTGAGTACAATTAGGTCTGTCAAAAATGATAAAGAAGCACTGAAATCGTTTTTGAATGTTAGTGAAATTAAAGCTCAATTGGAGCAAATGAAATCAGAGAATTCGATGTATGCAGAACAGTTAACTCAAGGTAAGGAGTATCCAGTATAGGTTGCATGGGAATATTTTAACTATCCATACCCTGGATTCAAAATTTTTGTCAGTGCCAGTGCCTTGTCTATTAACGGGCATCATAATGAACAAGCAGCACAGTGCAAAATACAATTTGACGCGATATAATAATTATACATTATGTCTGGTATCATATGAGCTGCTGACAAAGTTTTGAACTTGGGGTTGGTTGGTTGGTTGGTGGCGCCGCTCGTCTATTCAATTTTCTTGATGGGTACCTGCTATTTAAAAGTTAAAACTTACGTTTTTTTTGTTTCCGATTTAGAAAGATCAACAAATCAAGCATACACTGAGAAGATTCAAACTCTTTCCATTGAAGTCGAAGAATTGAGAGAGAAATATGAAAAAGTAGATAAAGAAAAAGTGGAAATCAATACAAAATTGGAAGTGTTGAATAATTACTTCAAAGAAAAAGAAGACCAAATGCAAAAGTAAGTTTTTTTTTGAGAGAATTTTTCCAGATTCTTATGAAAAATATTTGTAGGGAACTAATGAAATATGAGTCAATATGGGATGCAAAAGAAGGTGAAGCCACATCAACTACCGAACGAATTAAATACATGCAAGAAGAGTTGCAGAACTACAAGTACAAAGTCGCATTTTTCAAATTAAAGTTAGTTCAAATATTGTTTTTAGGTCTCAAAACGAAAGTCTTAAACAAGAAATCATTAACCAAGAAGTGGAATTGAAAAGTCAAATTTCTGTGCTCGAAAAAAAATCCCATGAAAATTGGGTCACAAATCGACAAATTGAGAGAAAACTGGAAGAAGCTAAACAAGAAGCTGCTTTATTGAGAAATAGGCTGACTATGAGAGAACGTGCTATAGCTGAATCAAATAACCAACACAGTAAGAATAATTTAAAATTGATTTTATTGTTATAATAACTGTTTTTATTTTAATTTAGGAATGCAATCTCCTCTACACCCAAATGGGGAAATGCCGATTTCCCCACCACCTCTCGACCCAACTCAATCACCTCCACCTCTTTATAACCCAAGAGATCACATGCCTTCCGCTCCAATTCCTGGTATGCCTCCACCTCCGTTTTTACCACCACCACCTTTAGGTGTAACCCCCTTTTTACCCCCACCTCCTTTAGAAGGCATGATGCCACCACGTTTAGGTGATATGGGTGGAATGCCACCATTCATGCCTCTTCCTGGAATGTTCCCAGGGGATCATAGACCACCTCCATTAGGAAGAATGAGTTCCCCACCACCAGTTGGAGGTAGATATACCCCAGAATCCACTGGATATTCAGAGTATGACAGATATAACAGGAGGAGCCCTTCTCCGCCATATGATTCAGAATATGGTGCTTCACCCCCTCCCACGAGAGGTTATAGTCCTTATGGGGATAGAGATGATAGACGAGGCTATAAAAAGCCTCAGCCTAGGAGTAATGGTAGAAGTTCCAAAGGTATGCATAGTTCGGGATCGGAAAACGATTCATTGGGTAAAGTAAATCATAAAAAAGCGCCTCACAGGAAAGTCTAGTATTTGGCTTGTTGTTTTCATAAATAATTTATTTTTTTCAAATCAAAATTAATCCTGCTTGATAGGAAAGTTCTTCGGCTGACTTGTAAAGTCCTACACAAAATAAGGCCTACAAAAAACATCAAGGCCATGTTTATGCTCATGAGATTACTTCTAGTCTGTTCTTTCATAATATGCTTTTTCGGAGACATCTGTATAAGGCATGCCTTTTGATCGACCAAATCTGTACAATATACAAAAATGTTATTTTTTGTAAGCCAAAGTTTTTTTACTAATAATGTTTGTTTGTACATAAGTAAATTGTGCTCCTTGCCTTAACATCATTGTTTTATTTTTTCTATTTTAAATGTTAGTTTCACGTTCCACAAATTAATTAATTATTGTCTTATATTATTGTAAAAATTGTATAAAGACTATGTTATTGTAATACATTTATTTGAAAAATCCTATGTTTTTTATTTGTGTATATTTTTTTATCCAATACATAAAAACAAATATGTAATACAAAAAGTAATCCTTATTTTCAGTCATAAAATAATAATACTTCTTATTTAAAAACTAACTAAATTCAATCAATCTAAAAATAATTTAGTTATAGTAAATAAATAAAGCACGTTCGGCTTGGTGTACAAAATTCTACAACTAGATAATTTTTCAATGCATCTTATACATATATTAAAAAGCAATCCACATTCAAGGCAAAAAAAATTGGTAAGTACTTGTTTTGTGGCAGTCATGTACATCCCAGTGCGAGGTATAAAATTTCTAAATAAGCCTGTTTTGGCAATAGACCCAAATAAACCTGAACCATTTCAATCAGTTTTCTCAATGGAAATCAGATTGGAGTTGTTTGTTTGCTAATTAAAATTGAAAAAAAAAATTGTGTCCTGTGATTATCCTTGATGAAGGCTGTAGGTACACGGTACACGGTACGATAAATCACTCACACAAAAAGCATTTGTGACTGGTTGTACTTTTACGGTACAATATATTTTGGAGAGGTCAACGATAGTGTTGTTCTTATCAGTTCAGTTTTGTCCATTATTTTCTCAAGAAACCACAACAGAGGTAACTTCTAAAAGGTTCTTCTATCCACTATTGGACATTTAGGGGGCAAATGTGGATATCACCGGTTCAAAATCCTTAGTCTAAATGATAACTAGGATCCTGCAGTAAATCAAATTATTAACGAACTAAGCTGTAATATTTCATATTATGGCAGATACACCCATATAAAACGCTCACAAACGAACGCTCCAAAGCAGGAAGTGCTGCCCCGCACAACACAAACAAACAAACCTCTAATTTTAGTTTTGGTACATTTATGGCGCTGTGGAAAACTGCCATTACTGTCTTTTGTTTAAAATAAGGGAATGTATATTGACCTTCATTTCTGAGGTTTTCGGAGCCAGGTAATGACAATATCGTTTAGGGTTTAGACATCAGCAATATCTATATGAATTTTTTCTCAGATACCTAGGTTTTTTTTTTCCATTATGTTGAAGGCCGATCTACTTTGATTTCAGAAAAGCATTTGCATTGAATCTGTAGTTTCGAAATGGTTGTGATCAAATGAAAATAGAAGACGAGACGGTCTCGTGTGGTATTTCTCGCATCGTGAACCGCTGATGCAGCCTATAAACTAAAAACAAGTTAAAGTCAAAAAGCTAAAAAAAATTCATGCAAAAGTGATAATTTTTTGCATATTCTCAGTAATTTTGAGCCAGTTTCAGGTTTCTTGGAAGAGAAGAGAGAAAAGGGGAAGGGGAAAGGCCAACTTCTCAAACTTTATAATTTGAAACAGTACTAATTGGTTTTAAAGGCCATTGAATAAGCTAGGGAGATTTAATGTTAATGCCTAGATTGGTTTACGACAGCTCAGCTGGATCAAACAAAATCGTTCAGACAATGATTGGGATCTTGTTAAACCAGACCTGATCTATTCTAAAAAATAATCACAGATTTTCTTCAACAGCAGTTTCAGTTTTGCTAGCCACTGTGGCTCCATAATAACCCTTAGCATGTCCATTTTCCCTTGTTGAATTTGTTCTAACTCTGTTGTTTGCAGTTAGCGGCGGAGATCGTTCATTACTGTGCCATATTCCATAAGTAAAATAAATTACTAAACCAATAAACATCCAATAGACATACTTGAGCCATGTATCTTTGTTAATATTAGTCATAAGGTAGATGTTGATGAAAATGCTTATGCCGGGAATCCAAGGAACCATTGGAACCTACAGAATTGACCCATTTTCAATGAATTTTTTGAAAAATAAATTTACTTACTGTAAACCCAAGTTTAGCGTCTGATGTAGGCTGACAGGAAACAGTATAAAGCAAAATAATCAAAAATACTCCAAGTACCAAACAGATGCTAATTAACCATAGTTCTCCATTGTAAAGGCTATCATCAAAAATAGTCATTAAACCAGACATAATAAAACAAAGCATGACTAAAAATAAAATAATAAATTAAAAAATCCAATAATAGAAACACTCGAAACTTACAAAAAATTATTATAAGCCAAGAAACAACTGTAGAAGTTACTTGAGTTGGATAAGTAGTCGTTGGAGATATAATTTGCATAATAAATGTCTGGAAGGTAATTGTTTCGGCAGAGTCAGACTTTTTTGAATCTGGAGCGTACCTATAAAATATTCATAATGAAATTAATTTTACGATAAGACATTTGTATTTTGTTCCATCCATCCATTCATCCAACAAGGATCAGTTATCTTAAAAATGTCTTCTAAAAATCTGATTTACTGATATTTGTTGGAAAACACTTTAGAACATACCTCAATACTAATACGCATGCTGCTACCATGGAATACGCCAAAAGTGTCCCAATAGACATCATTTCCGTTAGCTTGCTGAGTTCAAAGATACAAGCTAAAATTCCTGTGATAGCACCAGCTACTAGGGTGCCCATAAATGGTGTTTGAAACTTTGGATGGACTTTGGCTAGTGTCTTGAATAATAATCCATCTGAAGCCATGGCGTAGATGATTCTTGGCAGAGGGAACATAGCACCTAATAAACTAGATTTAAAAAAATATATATATATTTTTTAGAAATTAACTACTTATGGAATTACAATCTACCTTGAAAATAAACCACAACAAGCTCCAATACTAACAACATATTTTACAGCAGTCCATCCAATTTTTTCGTAAACGTGGGGTAAGGGGGCAGTAGTGTCTTGCTCATAATATGGAAGCATCATTGTTAAAACTGTAGACATTCCAAAATAAGCCAAAAATACAATCAATAGAGACATGACCACACCAATAGGGATGGATTTTTGGGGAGTTTTTGCTTCTTCGCCTACAAAAAAAGCCATGGATTATTTCGAGAAAAACTTGAATGTATCAATTAACTATTCCAAATTTATTACTTCACACTCTAATAAGTCCCAGCCAAAAGATCGAAGTGGTAGCAAATCCAAACACAAAACTAATTAAAACTTTATTTTTATTGAGTTTTTGGATATTTTCAACCCCTCGTTCCCTACAGACTGTAAAATCAATTTGAGGGACTATTCTAGAACACTTGGCATAAGTCCCTGCCCAAAAGGTGGTAGTGATAGGCTCGAGAAAATAATAAAAACCTTATTTTTATTGAGTTTTTTGATATTTTCAACACTTCATCCCCTGCCGATTTTAAAACCAATTCGAGGCAGTATTCAAGAACACCCTATATATCAAGTGCCTGTTGAAAGATCGTAGTGGTACTGCATTATTGTTTCTTTCTTCGTTAGAAGATTTTTGCTTGAGAAAATGCCGTTTCCAATAGAAGAAAAACGCAGAATATTTGAAATTCATAGCCTGAATCTTTGATTTACGTTTTTTTTTGAAGACCCGTTATTACCAATAATAATAGCATGGTGTGCAGTCCCTGACGATAAACCCATATAGTTGCAGTAAAAGTTAATAATTTAACAATGTAGGTTTAATACCTATATTATGTTTTGGTGCATGGTTCAGAACGAAGTGAGAAATAAATATGTTCAGCAGGATAAACATAGTGGCATAAGAAGAAGTAGAAGGAAAAAATCTATATTCAGTAGAGACCAACTTCTGCAGCAAGTGATGTAGCAGAGGAAAAGAGTCAACATATCAATTTTTTTGTTGAAAAAATGGGAATAAAATTATCACTGCATACTGCATAGGTAATTTATTCAAACAAAGCCTCAAGTAGAGGCTTTTGCTGTTGAGAGCAGTTTTTGGCCAACTCTCAACAACACATAAATTTCTATTGCAATGCAACCCGTCAAGATATCATTGATATTTTGTTGCCTTCGGTTGATTAAAAGTCAACATTCCCAATAATGTTTAATTTTAAAAAGCGCTATGTTAATTTATAAATTTTTGAAAAACTAATCTACTTTACATTAACTATGTCAATAGTGCATAATAATAGCCATAGGTAGGTATTTTGCTTTATGGAGGACCAACCTAACTAGACACATAGGGAGTAATAAGACAAATTAGCCTGTAGGTACCCGGTTTAGGCGAATTGAAGCGGTCCTGCCGAGTATAGCCTAGCTGTCGAAGATGCACGAATTTTAAGAACATGCAGGGACGATCAATGATCCACCCGACGATCCTACAATGAAATAGATATCAGTCAACTGGTTCCATTGAAGCCTATATGTCTAGTAGTCCGGTCGTGTCTATATTCATTAAATAGGCATGGGCCGCTATGAAGTGAAGTAACACTTGGCTTCGAATTAGGATATTTTATAGGATTACCTGCTGTTGCTATACAATCAAACCCAATAAATCCATAAAAACACTTTGCAGCTCCCTTAATAATGCCTTTAATGCCATAGGGGGCAAAACCACCCAATCCTATCCCCATGGCTTCTTGGGCTGTTCGGTTCCAGTTCTTCGGATCAGCTACAATAGTTTGAATTTGTCTAAATCTTAGTTAGAGAGAATGTTATGACTTACATTTAAATATTCCAGAAATAATAACTAGCAAAACTATGCAAATATTCACAAATGTGAATACATTGTTGACTAGTGACGACTCTTTGGCTCCAAAGGCTAGGGCGACTGAAAATTTAATGAATGGCTTCATTTATTTCTACTATCAAGCGATAAAAATGCAACTCACCAGCAAACACAATAGATAGGGCTAAAGAAAATATGTCAGCATAAGTTGCAATTTGACCACCATTCATCGGCATTGTTTGCTGAAAAAAATGCGACATTGTGTTGTTCGCCAAATTATCGAAATAGAGAAATAGTGCTTTCACACATGATGCTGAACCTACAAAATATTATCAACAGTAATAAATACATAATAAATTTTTCAACTTGCATATATCTACCTATAAGATATTCTAATATAAGATTCCAGCCTATAATGAAAGCGAAAAACTCTCCTATACAGACGTAACTGTAGACATAGGCAGAACCCGCCTTTGGCACTCTAGCTCCAAATTCAGCATAACATAAACCTTAAAAAGATAAGTACAATGAACAATGATGTTGAGTCTATAATAGGTACAATGGTGATGAAAATTACCTGCCAATATGGAAGCAAAAGCAGCAATTAAAAATGAAATAATCACAGCCGGTCCAGCGGTAGTTTTGGCAACTTCTCCAGCTAGAACGTAAACTCCTACTCCTAAAGTGCTGCCAATTCCTAGCGCTGTGAGATCTAATGTGGATAACACTTTAGCTAATTTGGTGTCATCGCTTTGGAGAATCAACTTTTTGCGGCTCAAGGATCGTTGGGTTTGGGCCCATGTTGGCATTCGCATCTTATCCCTGGGGTCTGAATAAAAAAAAGATATAAGTAGAGCAAATAGTAACTATACATATTATCAAGAACAATAATTATGGCCAAAGTATTGTCTTTGGCCAAAGGTAGGTATTAGTTTTATCGCTAGCAAGTGGTTCGCCATTTTGTCAAAAAATATTCTCAAAACGTAAAAATGTTAAATGTTTGAGAACTATTTAAAAAATGAGTCCCTGCTCCTTGGATTCTTGCGCCTAAATTTTAGGGTTTATATGAGTATCAGTACCGACAACCGATCGCAGCTTTACCAGGTAGGTACAGCCGAGAACAGAACCTCTGGGAAAGTTTACAAGAATTAAAAATTAAAACCCGCAGGCGGGTTGGGTTGGCATACTCACGATCAACAGAAGAAATGCAAGAATAACTAGCAGCCAAAAATTTTACCAAATGAATTAGAGATATGGATGTGAAGTACAGAGAATGCTGCTCATAACCAAATCATCAAGTAGCAGCGAAGTGGCCCGTAAAATACCCAAGCCAAAAATCACTAGTCAGATCTGTATATCAATGCCAACAAGAAAAAGTACCAATAGGAGGCAGGAGGAGAAACACAATGAAGGAACTTCTGGAAGAGGCATGAGAGGTTGACAACAGAATCAATCAAGAGACGTTGAAACGGGTACAAAATGTTACCGTTGCGGACGAAGAGGACATTGCAAACGTGACTGTAGGTAAATAACGTATGGCTGAGGTCTTGGTCTTCTTTCCGATTAGTTTCAGCCTTCGATGGAGAAGTTGCAACAGTACGATTTTAAAATAAAACATGGTTCTGGTAAGTTGCATAACACCGCAGATACCTTATCCAGGTGACCATGTTGAAGGTAAAGCACTGCCTCAGATCTGATCATCTTGAAAAAGTTCCTGTTAAGACTAGGAGCCATTGATTTTAAAAAAATCTATAGAGGAGTTCCGAACAGCTTAGAAGTGATCAGTTAGGACAATTAGATGAAAATAGTGGTAGCGACTAATTTTTGAACCTGAAGGTAACCGGCAACAAACTGAAAAAAGAAAAATCCGGCAAACAAAGAAAGAGAAAAGGTCAATATTATTGCAAGTATTCAGGAGTACTATGTGCTATAGTAAAAAAGCATCAAGTTAGTTTTTAGTGGACCCGCAAAATCTGTGACATCATTATTTGAATTTATTTATTGTTTATTGCTTTAGGTACCTATCACATTTTAAAAGAAAAATGTAGTAGGTATATTTATATATTTTAATTAACATCGAAACTTTGATCCACCAAAAAAATTCAATCCTTTTTAACCCTACTACATTTTTTTTAAATATGTGACAAGACTATGAGAAGTTCAATTTGTTTAAACTTTTGTATCCTAAACTGCTATATAGACTTTGTTTGTACAATGTTCCAATCAGTTAGGTACAGGGTCTTTCCCCATATATTGACCTCCCCACTACAGGGGTTATCTGAAGAGATACCTATCAAAAAATTGTAAATAGGAAAGTTTTGTGGTTTTATCTCAAATTTTTGAATCCGATATCAAAAACTTTTTTCTTCTTTCAGAAATGTCAAATTTTGACAGATGGTCAGTTTTTTCTTATGAAACGCCCTATCCTATATATGCCTTCATAGTTGAAAAGCGTAGAATTTTCTGATTTGAAATATGCATGGTTAAACTACTTCTAGGCAAGCCGTTTTGGAAATATCGGGCTCTAAACTTCAAGAAAATAATAAAATTCCAGGGTGACCATTGAGATACCGGAAACTATTAGAGATATGGTATATTCTTAATACGTACTTGATAGAGATATTAGCCAAAAGAACATTTTTTAGGGTACATCATAATAATGTTCGTATGACAATATTCCGAGAATATTCAGATGTTTTTACATAAAGTAGGTTCTTACAAAGAATGTTCTTAGCACAATCTTTCAGGTAGGTGCATAAAAGCAACATTCCTAATACATAAATAGAACGTCCAAAAATGAATAGTTAATCGAAAAAATCTTAGAATATTCATTATACATTCCTAGAAGAACATTCCAAAAAGCACTTTGTAGGAATATTCTGAGAATATGAATGTTCTTTCACTGTTAAGTGGGCTGTACCTACCTATGCATGGATATGGCAATCGGCAATATTGCCTGCTTATGTTAGGAATTCAATATTTCCTAATCTTATCTATAAATAATCTAATACATAATCAGTTGTAACACATTTATTTATCTGTAGTAAACAAATTATTTTTTTTTTTACTAGAGATAAAAGATAAAATTTCAGGGTTAAAAGATGAGTTAAAATATTCCAATTTTCAATCTCAGAGGCACAAAGAATGCATTAATTATAATTATATACAAATTTTCAATTTCATAAATAAAATCAGGCTATTTAGGTATTTATGTCGGTTTTTTTTTTTGGAAAATATGGGATTTTAAGATTCCATACGTTACCACGTGAATTTGAATATATTGTAAACTCGACTTTATTTTCAACAGTCACTCAAAGCATAGGTAAGGTATGTAAAAATAAAATTGTATAAGAAAAATTTAGATAATAGGTACCTTTATACAATAAATACTTACCAATATTGAAAACGTATCGAATTTCTTCCATGATAGGCATTTTTGATTTATTTTAAAACACAAATTTATCACTGCAACGTGTGAAACTAATATAAATTTTCAGCAGCAGCCCAGACCAACACGTCTCAAATCTTATTGAGACAATTAGCAAAATTGACAACAATTGGCGATAATTGACGAAATAATTTATTTTCGAAGACAAATGAATTGTTGTTTTGTAGAATTTTTGAAATAATTCACTAGGTATAACAACCAGTCACTCACAACACTATTCAAATTTAAAGTGGAGCAAATATTAAATTTATTGTAGTACAAGTAACAACAAAAACCTTAAACAATATATTCGTCAAGCGCTCAGGTAGAAAATTAGCTTTTTTTTCGTTAGTTTGACTATGGGGCTGATATACTTTAACTAAAATTGGTCGCTGAACTAATAAGTAATTAAAATAAATACTTCATTTCGCGGTGGTTCACCGTTTATCTCATTTTGCGCTCATTAATACCAATAATAATACTGTACTGTTAAAAAAAGCGAATGGCACTGAAAAGCATTTTTGGGGCACCTTGGACACGTCTGGGCCTAGGCGCATGTTGCTTTAGTGGAGGAAATTATATGTCGATAATTAACAAAGATAAACTTCGCAAAATGCAGTTTTTGCATATCCTTACTTCATCAGTAACTTTTTGATGAATCCTGAGGATATTGTTCTCAAAAACACCTAATCAAAATTTAAATAAATCAATCGAGTATGTCTTTTCAAGTGCGAAATTTGCTCGACTAATTCTGATGCAATAGTGGGCTCCCGCATCTCATACACGTAAAATGTTCAGCGCTAAGCATAAAAATATCTACTGGACAGACAATTAGTTGAAAGTTTTGTGTCATCAAGCACTTTTGGAACGAAACCCCCACAAATTGGTACAAATTTTAAGTAAGTCGCGGAAGTAGGGCAGTGAAAAACAATTAAATTGATTTCCGAATTTCCGATTCCTAAACAAACTTCCTTCAAAATCAAATCGTATATGTACCTATATTTGCTATTACCGCATACATTTCGATTTAAATATCTATGGGTAAAAAATTAAATTTAATATTAAATTATTTTTTGAATGTTGACTTAGTATTAGTATTCGAAAAATGTTATTTAAGTTAGTCGGCACGCATCATAACCTGTGAATGTGGAAAATAATTTAAAAATGGAAATTGGATTTTTTTTTCATCTAAACTGCTGGACACTCGAACTTTCACATACAGGGTGACAATTTGAAAAGTAGCAATCGGGAATATCTCTTAGACAAAAAAATACTATCAGGAAGATCTCAAATACGTATCGGGGGATTGGAGGGGGAACCAAAATGAGGCACTTTTTAAGTCACCCCGCCTCACCCCTTAGGGGGTAGCTCCTAACTTATTTTTTTTCAAATTACGAACCTACCTTGTGTTGCACATCGTTCGATAGCTCGTTGCTCCCTTCACAGTCATGTAGCAAAATCTTAAATCGGACGATTAGTTTTTGGTTTTTGAGATATCGGTGTTTAAATTTGAGCATATTTTGAAAACTAGTAATTTTGACAATCTCTCAGACAAAAAAATTCTGTCATAAAAGTCTCAAATTCACATCGGGGAAACCAAATATGAATATTGCCTAACGCACCCCTCTTGTCTTGGGGGCTAGCCGCTGCTAATAATTGTTCCAAAATGAGAACTCACCCCGTGGGATAGCTTCTTTAAAAGGTTTTTTATTCGTCTTTAGAGAGGTGCAGAAGCAGATAGAATTAAGATAAGCACATTATTTGGTTTCGCCGATGTGTATTCGAGACATCCAACGATGTATGCAACACAAGGTAGGTTCGTATTTAAAAAAAATAAGTTGGGGTAGCTACCCCCTAAGGGGAGAGGCGGGGTGACTCGAAAAGTGCCTCATTTTAGTTTCCTCTCCAATCCCCCGATACGTATTTGAGATCTTCCTAATAGTATTTTTTGTCTAAGAGATATACCCGGCGATTGCTACTTTTCAAATTGTCACCTCGTATACACATTTTTAGACAAAATTCAAAGTTTCATATTTTCGACACGAATAAATTTTGTTTGTGGTTTGTGGATTTTGATAGCCTGTTTTTTCCGCATAAAGCTTGCCGTAAATTTCTCATAGGACCATAGGGTTATGATTTTTTGCCTGGAAATCCTGTATGTGTAAGAGTGTTAGTTCGAGTGTCCAGCAGTAGGTATATGTTCTCGAATACATAATCGATTAAATCTGAATCGATTAAATAGTAGGCTTTGTTAACATTTGAATGAGTCGTAAGTATATATTTGTACCTAGCTTCACTTTAGTTTCAAAGTAACTTTTTTCTTGAAACTACAACAAACAATTAGGTTACATTTTTTTGGAGCTTATTGTACATTTTATTCAATTTATTAGGGCGAAAATAATATCTTAAACCTTGAGCAGTATGGAGAGCTAGCATTCATAAATCAAATAAATGCCCTGGGTGTTAGATCCAAAAAAACATGATCAGTGGATACGGATACCATTTATACACAAAAATAAAGCATTATACTAGAACCTACATGAAAATAAAATAGATTCAAATAGGTATACTAACTAAGAATTCAGAATAAATTATTTAGAATTTGGACTTTCACTTCAACTGGAATGAATGAAATCCTTGGTCTTTGAGGAATATTAAAATTCTTGCAATTATAAACTGCACCGATTCTTTTGGAAGTCTTGGGTCTGTTCCAACCCGCCAAAGAACCGTCCAAGAACGGTTTCAGAACCATTCTGTATACGAATTTCGGATTCTACGCATAAATTTCACGTTTTGCGCAGAATCCTGACAGCGAAATGTAGGTACCTACGGTTCTCTGCTGCATTGGAACAAAAGCGGAACAAAGCTTATAGTTTATGGGAAGAAAACCTCATCAGGAGTTTCAATAGGATTAGTTGAACTCTGAAATGCCTTCTTTGAATGTTCAATGCAGTCCTTAAATAGTGAATTAATAAGTTTTTTTCATTCATTCATTAACATAAAATAGTAATAAAGTTTATACTTAGTACCTTAGTACCTACCTCCTAATTTGATTCTCTAATTCTTGTATTAAATGTAAATTAATTAACCCCTTCATTTAAAATAGGATTTCTAAAAAAATAGAAAAACAGCGGTAGCATGAACGTTGGGCACTTAACGGCATGTTATTTGAGGCTGTTGAGGCGATATGTTAAATTAGGCGGAAAATAACAGTAATGTGTTATGAAAAACTGTCCATCATACAAAATTGCATCTTTGCTGTTAAAACTCAGCCTAACATGTAGGGGAAACTGGGTAACACCGAGACACTTTTTTCTCTAATGAAAATATTTTACCATAAACCTTTAAAATATAGATTTTTTTTTTCAGTAAAACTCAAGAATAAATCTAAGTTAGAAATTTATTATGTTTTTGATACTATAGTCACTTACAAAGGCAATATTTGACATAAACAGTTATCATGACATTTGTCTCATTGATACCCATGCAGGGGATTCAATGAGACACCATATCGAATGAGAAATAATTACTTGAATAAACTGAAACAAACTTCTATAAATGTCCCAGACAAAATTTTAAAGCCATGGTAGGATCGATTATAGTCTTTCCGTAATTCACTGGTTTTGGCAAAATCATCTTAATATCTCACAGTAAAAAATGACACGGTGGTAAAAAGTATATATCACAAGGTAAATTATAGAGGTGTTGAAAATAACACTAAAAAATATACTTATTTGTACTCTTTAACACTCGATGACCACTATTCGAATGGTAAATTTCGTATAAACACATTTTTATCTCTTTTTGTGTTATTCTAACACAGTTTAAATAAATTTCACACTACAAAAAGGATATTTTCTTTCACGCTGGTGTAAAAAATGGCCGTGGCTAAAGTAACAGAGGTGTTACTATAATTATTTTTTTAAAGTAACATCAGTTCAATGACGTCACTGATGTAAAGAAAGGTAGGTACTTTCTTTAGCAATTTAAACTAAGTAAAGGTGATATTCAACAACATAACAATAATATTTTATTTTTTATAAACCAAAAATTTGAATCAGTATATTGATAATACAAATCTTTTGTGAGAAAAACGGCGTCTCCATATTCCTATTCCTCACATGCCCTTGCAAAGGAACGGGCGTGTAGGTATAGTTCTCTCCTGCAGGTGAAATTCGATTGTTTACCTTTTTATGAGTGTGCAAAGTGAAAATTCAGTTTTCCATTTTTAATCATTAGCGGTATAAAATAATGGCCATCAACTTCAAGCATTTTTTTTCAGCAAATGAAGATAGGTAATTTCTTAATTTGGAGCTAAAACTATGATAATCTACAGCGAAAAAACTTCTGCCTAGGAAGGAAAATAATTTACTTTCCTCCATAGGGAGGCGAAATTACTATTCTCCTACCTGAAAAAAAGGTAACAAATTGTCACTTTCTGACAGTCATAAGAAAATGTGTCTTTCCTGCCTTGCCTATAATTGTGCCTATTTTATAAGTATTCTATTCTATTCTTCAAAGTCAAGTCAGGTTATTTTTTATTTATTTCCATTTTTACTCTAAAACAAATGCCAAGAACCAAGAATATCACCTTTACTTTAAATTGCTAAAGAAAGTAATTACCTCCGTTACTATTAACCCCTATTAAAAGTAACGTTTTCATCAGTGACAACATTGAATTGATGTTACTTTAAAAAAATAATTATAGTAACACCTCTGTTACTTTAGCCACGGCCGTAAAAAATTGCGTTAGTGTTAAAATAACCCGAAATTTGGTTAAAATAACACTCCTCAGGGTCGATTCAACTCTAGGCGTTGCTGGTGGTCTAACCTTTACCTAAAAATCGCGTCAGTTCGTCAGTTGTAGTTGCAGCTACAGGTACCGGTCCCGCGTGGTGCATCTTCAATCAATTTTAATCGTTTCCAAGTTTCGTGAAACGTGATTGATGCCATCCCAGGCTAAAATTCAGGTGAAAACTCAAAATGTCCATTCCAGTATTTGAATTATTTCATAGAAACAAAGGAAAGTTCTGTAAATTAAATGATGATTTTTCGTATGAAGATGTCGTGGATCTAGGTAAGCATACTTATTTACTAAAAAATAAGGCACATACGCAATACGCCGCCATTTAAAGTACCATTATAAAATAAAGATCTGTTGTTTTAGCGAAAAAAAAATTGCACTTGCAAAATCAGAAGAAATAACTCGGTGATACAAGTTACAAAAATTTGGAAAGTAGTAACGCTCCTCTGAAAAACGAATCTGATCATGAGTCATCAAATTCAACGCTTTCAATTGATGGAAATACACGAACTGCATCTGAACTTAATGCATGGCTCCTCAACTCCAATGAAGGACCAGAAAACAGTTGTGGTGATGGATACCAGCATCAGATAATAGTCATATTGATCGAAATCCCAATTTTTACTTGATTAGTAAATACTTTTAACACTCAATACTGTGTTTTTTTACATTAACCAAAATATGTAACACTAGGTAAATGAAATTTACCTCTGATTAAAACCTAATTTAACACTTAATCAAGTGTACTTTTTACGTCCTCCAAAATATATTTAACACGCAAAAATGAGTCAAATGAATCTATTTTTTAAATACTATTTCAGGAATAGCTGGTTGTGTTGACGGTAGTCAAATCAAAATTTTTACACCAACGCATTTTCAACTTGGTTGGTCACCCTGCTGTCCTCTTCATAAACAGAAAGAATGTTTTACAGCATCAATTGTCAGCTAATTTTTGATGTAAATT